TTGCTCTGACTTAATGTGAATCCTTTAGACTCCAATGTGCTTCTCCACAATTCAAGTTTTCTATTAACACCATCTTTGCTCTCATCAATAAGCATAATATCGTCTGCAAAAAGCATACACCATGGAATTTCCTCTTGAATATCTTTTGTTAATTCATCCATAACGAAGGCAAAGAGATAAGGACTTGAGCCGACCCTTGGTGTACACCTACTGTGATAGGAAAATAACTTGATGTTCCGTTACAAGCTTTCACACATGTAGTAGCCCCATCATACATATCCTTGATTGCCTTTACATACTTTGATGGTACCTTTTTCTTCTCCAGAACCCACAATAAAACTTTCCTTGTAACCCTATTGTATACTTTCTCACGATCTATGAACACCATATGTAAGTCCTTCTTCTTTTCTCGATATCTTTCCATTAGTTGTCGCATCAAGAAATCTTAGTATCTTTCCTTAAGCGATGCTCAATAACCCTCTCCCACAACTTCATAGTATGACTCATTAGCTTAATGCCTCTATAGTTAGAACAATTATGTATATCTCCTGATAAACCTTTGGTTTACCATGTTTTTAGGCTAAATTATATGAGAAATATGTAGTAGATTGCATGGAATTCAAGATTTTACAACATATAAATAGTAAGATAGGAATTGGAGCTAATGTTTTGATTTTCTTTGCATTTTGAAAGTAAAATCACACTTATTGGTGCTAAGAAGTGATGAAGAAATCATGACAAAGAGTTGCAGCTCAATATGAACCAAAGGGCCAGAAGAGCACACTCGAGCTCACAGAATGGGCGCTCGAGCACATCTAGGCAGGGGAACCAGCTAAATTGAGCAATCCAGGACGCTCAAGCGCCCATTAGCACGCTCAAGCGCCCAAGACTACAAGAGTTCACCTTCGAGGAGCACGCTCGAGCGCCCAGTTGGCCGCTCGAGCGCGTGTGGGCAGACAGAATTTCTAAATTTATGCACAGGAGCGCGCTTGAGCGCCCAAATACGAACCCATCAACCCAAGATGATTTGATTTGCTATATGATACAGATTTGTAATATTTTGAATGAAAGCGAAAACAAATCAATCTTGATTTATTAATTGATAGAGATTCATGGGAGATTGGATGGATAATTAAAAAAGATATGGCTTCAATGGTTATAAATAGGGAGCTGAGGGTCAAGGAAAGACACCAATTCATCAACCCAAAGAATTACACAGAGACGAAATCCTGTTGCGGAGCGTGGGAGCACTGAGGAACCAAGTCAACGTCACACCAATGGAGGCTTGGAGTTCTCTTTTCTTTATTATCGTTTTTTAATTCAGTATGTTAGGCTAGATTTTTATGGCTATGATACATTCCTCAGGATTGACCTACAGTAATGTAGTTGTGACCTAGTGACTAGTTATGTTTTCAAAGTGGAATAGTGGGGATGTTGAATTCTGGTTTAAACATGTGAACGTAATGGGTTAACTGTCGAAAAAGCAACGGCCCATCCTTATTTTTTGTTGCTATTTGATTTCTTAGATTGGGTTTATAACACTGTAATTCTTACCCATTTGCTTGTTTAGATATTGATTCTTTTTTTGGGGAGGTTTTGGGGGTAGAAAGATGTAAATAGGGTTTAGCCATAAACTTCTGGTTTAGGACTGATTCCCCCTTGAGCCTTGAGTTGGCCTTGGCAACAAGGTGCTTCTAGAAGAAAAATGGAGTCCAAATACAACAAAAAAGCCAGTCCCTCACTCTGTAAATTGGAAATGGAAATAGTTATGGCCTTATGGGAATAGCACCTAAAGCAGCCAAAAACGAAATCATATCCCATGCATAACAAGTTTAAGAGTAAAGGGGAAAAAGGGAAACTTGAAAATGTAAGTGTTCTCCTCTATTGAATTTCAATATAGAACTGTATGCTGCCACAAGATTTCAACTTTCTTGTTTTCATCAAAACATTCATAACGAAACTTTAAAACTGCCTCAAAGTAGAGGGTCACACACAGTGGCTCACCAACCAAGAGCTGCTAAATGAGTATTCCATAGGGAAGTATTTACCTTACAAAAAGTTTTTGGTGATACACAAATAGTAATAAACCTAAAAGCCTTAGTTGTTCGGTGAAGGTCTAAGAATGGGTTTGGTTAATAGAGATGAGACAAACCCAAAGAGTTTGAGCATTAAAATGCCCTGACCGATCTGTCAAGGCTGTTCTAGTTTTATCAAAGAGTAGATAAATTCTACAAGTTCATATTTATATAGCTCTAATACAAGTATAAAAGAATAAGTAATCTAACTGAACTACAAAATTAACTAGAACACACAAATATGTAACAGTATTTATTTACTTAACATGTATTTTTGCCAACTCTTGTGATTTCCTATACTTTAGTTATATGCAGAGAAAATGCTACAAAGTTCATTGTAGCAATTTTTAAAGAAAGAGAAAGAAAGAGCAGTGAGATCGATATATAACGGCTAGTAACCCACTAGCATTTAGCTTTTTCCTATGTTATATGTGTGTTGTGTCCCATGATTTTTTTAATCAAAAAGAAGTTTTCTTACTTTCCCCAGTATAATGTTCGTTTTGTAGGTATTCAAATGACTAGTTGTACAGCTGTGTATAGTCATGATCTTTTTTGTTGTAATTCTCTTTATCTAGATTCATATAGATAGTTATATTTCATTTGTTTCCTTTTGGGTTATTTTGCAGTCCAAGCAGTGGGGCTTTAAGGGATCTTAGCTTATTTTGTTGCGATGACAGGTTTCTTTCACTCCTGGAGGCATACCTCAGTCAGCTGCAGAAATATGAGGGTAATCAAAGAAGAAACTTCTGTAAATTGAATATTTAATATGCTTTATCCCAGTTATATTAGGCTAACATCTCTTTATACTTTGCTTAGGAGTTAGGTTGGTATGTGAGGATATCACTGGAGGTCAGGAACATGCACCAATTCCTGCTACGAATTTGGTTGATGACCCTCTTTCCACCCACAGGCAAGTTGAATCGGGGGTTTGCAATTTGAATCCCCTATTTTATTGTTGAGAGTAAATTCTAGCCATTTCTAGCCGTGGGCTCTCATAAGGAGGGAGGAGCTTAAGTTCTGGCCTCTTGCTTCCCACAACTCACATAGCTTGTAGATATAAAGGAACCTTAGGAAAGAAGTTTGGTGGAATTAAACTACTTTAAAAATAAACTCTATTATACTTGACTAAATAACAAGGACTAGGAGACTTTACTGATTTTTACCTCTTTCGGTTAGGCTAGTCAAATGAGAGTTTGAAAAGCTCACTAATATTTTACTTGTGTACTCTATTTTGGTGGTAGTTGATCAACCATAGTCACTAGTGCAAAAGATAAACAACATAGCCAAAGTTCATATGGGTGGCTCTATCTAGAACCATCTATCCCTGCTGATAGCTTCCAGAAGATAGGAACACATCATTCAACCTTCAAAAAAATTACTGGATGATGCTAGAATGTTGTCTGATATTCAGAAGTTCTACAACGTGAATGTACAGGAGCTTCCACCAAATGTTGCTGATTTTCTCTGATGAATTAATTTTGTGTTCTATGTCAACAAGTCATTAGGCCTTTTTGTGTCAATTAGTATCTTATGATCTTTTTTTTTTTTTACCACATTGGAGATTAAATGATGTCTAATATGATGCCATTTGTAATGGATTCTATATATTTTGTTTGATTAATTAATTAGCATGTTGTTGTTCAAGCCTGCTTTTATTTTCTTGTCTTTGTCTGTATGTCCATTTTGAAGGGTACTGTCGAAGAGTACACTGTGTATTTTTGCAAGCTTCGTACCAATGCTGAAATTCTATAAATTAACAATGTTGTCCTTGGTGAATAAATATGACATGTCTGCTTAAAGATATGAGCACAAGTGATTATTGTATTTGACATATATGAGACAAACTAAACAACCGAAACATTGTGTAATGAGATTTTAAGGCCTATACATTATCATGTTCCGTTGTTATCAACTATTTGACTTCTCATTAGTTGAATAACTGTTTTTCCCTTTTATCCCGGCCAATATTTTTAGTTGATGCCACATGATGCCTTAACCCTTTTAAAAAGGCTAAGTTCTAATCATATTTCGTTTCTCACCCATTCATTATAATCTAAAATATTTACATTTGAACCTTGCTTCTTGAATCTGTCAAGATGTTACTGAAATTTTCTGCAAAGAAGTATGCCTCTGATTTCTATCTTTCATTTCCTTTTGAAAAATAATGGATAAATTGTTGGCCAAGTTTCGACAGATGAAATCTACAAGAGCTGACCTGCCATGTATAAGGTCATTCAAACAAAGATGATATGTATACATTGGCTTATTATTTATATAAAGTTGGGAGGACACGTTCTCTGGTTGAGAGGTTTGAAAGAAGCGAAAGAATTCAAATCAATGAAGATCAAACTAACGCATCCCTCCCCCACAATAAATAACGAGGAGGGAAAAAATTGATACTGAAGATCAAATTAACGCATCTCCCACCATGGTATTTGAGAGGGGGGAAAGAATTCCCCTCAATGAAAGATCAAAACAATATGCCCTCCATTCCCAACACACTATCTAAAAATGATAAATCTTCCAACATACTGGTAAAATTATAGCTCAGCTTTACAAAATTTTGTATAATGGCATTCCCAATACACCTAGAGCTGGAGGCTTACTAAGCATTAACATTTTATGCTTAAGCTCAACAAAATAAAATACAATGTACTATGTTCCTTTTACAAACAAGTTTAAATACTGTGTGTTGTCGGTATCTACTTGGAGCACCAGGTCCACAACCATATGAAGTTGTTAACAAATGAAAAGGCAAAGGCAATTTTTGACTCTGGCTCTGCATCTCCTTTGCTGCCAATTTAAGGGAACCTGAAGTGCTTTAACAAGCAGTTCAAAATTCTGCACTTTTCACCTTTGAAATGCTCTCAAGGACTGCCACAAGAGAAATGTGCCCCATCATTGTCACCCTTTTAGCCTCTGCATCTATATTGAAGGATGTAAAATTGAAGATAAATTTTGAAGTTTTGGATGTTTTGGGATGTCCTTTTGGAAATGCTTCAATTGACAATTCAAAATAATTCTCTCTTGCTCGGAAAAATCAAGAGGATAGTCTTTCTCTGCAAGGCTACAAATATCATCAACATTGAATGCTTTGTAACCATTCTTCGGATCTAATGAAGAGCTAAGTGATAAAAGTTCCATTGTTTGCTCGTTAAACCTTCTATTTAACTCTTGTAACTGAAAGTCAATGGTTGAATTAAAAATATCAAAATGATAGTGATGCTCAATAGTTATTTGTTCATGTTGTCGACGGCCACGACCTTCAATATATTGAGCATCAAAATCTGGAACATCTATCTCATGAAGCTTGGAGAAATTGACAACACTTTCAAGTATTCTTTTCCAACCACCATCTCGTAATTCTTGAATAAGTTCCTTTGTACTTGAAACTAAATGTATAGCATTCAAAATATCTTGAGCTTTTTGTTGTAAGGCTTGACAAAGAATTTCAGTGATGCCCATGATCTCCTTCATCAAAAGTAAATTAAATATAAACTCAAAAGAAGTGATCATCTTATAAGCTGTTGTAGCATCCCCTCTTTGAGAGTAATTTGAGCCTTCATTGCAAATTTTTTCAAGTACTGAACATGATTCATTATACCCTCGTTGAAGACTGCATATAGATTAAAAATGAGAACCCCATCTTGTATCACTAGCCCTCTTTAGTGTGCCTACTTGGTTAGAACCTGTACCAGTTTCAAGCTCGCCAATAGCTTGCAAATGTTCAAATTCAAAAATTTGGGCAGCTTGGAATTGATCATGACGTTTAGAAGAAGCAGTGACAATATTAATGATGAAATTCAAATTCTGGAAGAATTGATAAATAGAAGAAACTTCCTTAGAGGCAGCAATCAAGGCTAATTGTAATCGATGGGCAAAACAATGCACATAATAAGCACAAGGACATTCATTAAGAAATAATGCTTGCAATCCATTCCATTCACTACGCATGTTACTAGCACCATCATATCCTTGGCCACGAATATTTTGGATATCAAGGCAATGATGTGAGAGTATGTCACTAATAGCATTTTTAAGTGTCATAGAATATGTATAGTGATAAAGATCAAAAAATCTCTTTTATAAAACCATCTTTGTCAACAAATCTCTAGACAAGAGCCATTTGTTCCCTTTTCGATTCATCACGTGATTCATCCACAATAATACAAAACTTAGAGTCCCCAATATCCAGCAGAATTTGTTTACGCACTTTGTTTGCTAGAACATGTAAAATCTCCCTTTGTATTTGAGGTGAGGTATACTTGGCTGTCAATGGAGCATTCATTAGAACAACATCTGCAACTTTTTCATTGTAAGATGCCAAAAGTTTGATCATTTCAATAAAATTACAACTATTTCTTGAATTAATAGTCTCATCATGTCCTCTAAAAGCACACCCCTGAAAAGCAAGCCAACGAGCAACATCAATTGAAGTTTTAACACGCATCCTATTTTTTCAATTTGTTGGGAGCTTTGAGCATGCATAACTTTATCAATATGACAAGACTGATTCATTAAGTCCGCACATGAGATAATTGCATTAGTATGTTGTGAACAAGGATCATCTCCCATGTGATTTAGAAAAGCACAATACTTGCCACTATGAACTCTATTCCAACCATTAAAACCTTTGATTGTGAACGCATCCCAACCATGTCGCTCGCCGACCTTTGTAGTGAAAAGATAACATGGTAAACAGAATGCAGCATCTATACAAGGTGAATACTCAAGCCACGAAGAAAATTCTTTGAACCAAGAAGGTTGAAAACGTCGATGATGTTTTTCTTTTGAAAATGGATAGGAGCATTTAGGTTGATATGGCCCAGCTATTAAATAATCTCTTCGTATCTCATCAACTTCTTTAGCTAAATATTCCCAAATTGGCTTACGTTTTCCTGGAACTCGTTCAAAAAATTTATTTTTGACCATAATAACATCATCAGTATGTTCAATTCTACGACACTTTGAAGGAGATTGCTCATGAGAAGGTGCACCAATTTCAGAAATTATGTTCGTAGGAGCATCACTTGATTCACTTTCAGATACTACTTTCTTTTAAAAAACACATCTATACTTTTCTGTTTATCCTTGCCCATATTTTTTCAACCTACATGTCAATTTGTAGGTAGACATTTATATTAAAGTAGCTAAACAAATATCATATTTATGTCAAATGGATGAGGGAGCAAAAAGATTTAGACAAATAACAAAAAATCAAATAAAAGAGAAAAATATAAGACAATAGTTGATTATATTATGAGAGCAATACTATGCTATTCTAACTACATAGTGAGAAAATGGGGACATGATGAGTAATTGAGTACATAAAGGGACAACATAAAAAAATAAATTGAAGCATTTCCTAATTTTACAACAAATTACTAAGAAAGCGCAAAGCAAGTGAGATTCTTATGTTTGGAATGCTTATCAGAAAAGTTAGTGTCGTTTTATATGTTTGTTTTGATATATGATTATTAACAATTGTTCATTTCAATTTTCAATACTATGTGGCATTATTTAGTAAATAACTTAGATAAGTATGCTAGAATTCATAGTAAATTTTTTCCTAATAAATTTGTGTATTTACGATAAATATTTTGATAATTTAATATGCCAAAATTTTTGGCATGGGCTAAACTAAAATTCTGGCTCCGCCACTGGTCCCCACCCACTGTTATCCCACAAAAAGATAACAAATAAAAGTTGTTTATTTGGTGTTTTGTTCAACATTTCATTATTTTATTAAAGGAAGTGAAAGAACCTGACAAGGAACAATTGCAACTGAACAAGAATTGACACTCTGCAACACAACAGATGCTCACATGCCACACGGGCTGGCTGACGCTAACGCGAAGAGACAAAACAGTGGCAACTGGCAAAGAAGAACACTAAGACCAGCAAGATAAATCTGGGTGTAGCCGTGCAAGGTGCTTGAAAGCCACGAAGAAATTTTGCTTGAAAGCTCAAAATGAAAGAGTCACTAAGAAGGAAAAATCTTCAACAAAAAATATATTTGGATTCTACAGTAATGTCAAACAAGCACCTCGTTATGTTTTTATTTTCTTTTATTGGATAAATAAGTGATTGGTAATTTATTATGAATTTTATTTAATATTTAATATACATCATCACATCAATGGTGCAGGTTTTTCTTTTGATAAGACTAAAGTGCCAATTCCAAAGTTACACTTACACGACAGGTCCGACAATTTGGAGTAGGGGGGAGGAACTTTGGCTATTGATTTGAAAAGAAGAAGAAAAATAGAAAAAGGGGGAAGAAAATTGTGTGAAAGAAAATGTGGGTATAGAATTGAAGATAAAAATATTATAACTTTATTATATTTATTTAGATAGTGCCAAATTATAATTTTAGCCATGGCCAAATTATAATTAATTATATACTTATATATATATAATTATATATAATAAGTAAATTTTTAAAAAAATTAGCCAATGCCAAGGCACCCACTGGTTATAACAACGCTACGCCACTGGCTCCAGACAATTTGGCATACCATTATTAAGAAGCTTGTTTTAGGCCATAAAAAGCCTTATGGAGCTTACATACAAGCTTGGAATTAGTAGAAGAACCCTCTTTTTTACTGTGATAGCCTATGGGAAATTCCATATATACATCTTCAAACAATTCCCTATTTAAGAATGCATTATTAACATCCAATTGAAACAAATGCCATTTTTGGGATGAAGCAATAGCCAAGAAAGTCGTAATTGTAACCGACTTAGAAACCACATAAAATGTCTCAATGAAATTAATATCCTCTTGTTGGTTATAACCTTTGGCTACAAGTATAGCCTTGTTCCTTTTCACAGTACCCTCAGCATTGAATTTTATTTTACATATCCACCTACATCCAATAGAGTGTCTGCCTTAAGGTTAGGGGTGTAAATGGGCCAGGCTGGCCCAGCCCAGCCTACATTAAGCCCAGCCTAGGCCCAGCCTTTCAGAAAAGTAGAGTAGGCTTAGGCTTATAAAAAGGCTTTTTTAATAAATAGGCCATAGGCCAATTTTGTCAAGCCCGGCCTACGGCCTTGTAGGCTGGCCTATTTAATTTATTAAAATAAAATAATAAAATAATATTTATTTTATGTGACAAAGACACAAAGTACCAAATACCAATATCTCTTACTTTTTGTGCTATTTTATTTTACGAAAGGAAAACTTGTCTAATGTCTCCAAATTTTACATGCTGTTGCAGCTTAATACCATGGAGCAATGGGTACCTTGCTGGATTATGATGTTACTGATATAGATCTTTCAATAATGCTCTTCTTTCCCTTGTCTTGATGGTGGTTTAAAGATTTTTAGATGAATGACATTCTCTTGTAGACTTTGTTTAACATCCAGTAATTGTATTTTTTTTATTTTTCCCATTTCTTTGATTTTTCTATGATATACATTCTAGAGCAGGTATTATGTTGACTCTTTCTTGTTTGTCATTTTTTTCTTATGAGAAGTACTAGTGCATGCATGAATGGAACTTTCTTTGCTCTATACAATTATTTTTTTTTGCTTAGTATATATAGTGGGAGGCCTACAAGGCCTGTAGGCCATGTCAGGCTTTCTTATTTTTGAAAATGGGCCGGGCTTGGCCTACAAATAAAGCCTTTAATAGGCCAGTAGGCCAGATTGAATTTTTTTTACATATCCACCAGATCCAAAGCCCAGAGTGTTTACACCCCTACTTAAGGTAATGGAAATATGGACCAGGTATGGTTGCTCTCAAAGCTAGAATTTCAGCTTGCATAGCAGCACACCAATGAGGATATTTGACAACTTGATGATAATATTGAGGCTCATGGTGTGCAGAAACATTGAGAACGAACTTCTTCTGAGTTGTTGACAATCTGTCACATGCAATAACTGGTGTTGGTTAACATATTACAGTGATAATCTCTTATGTAATAAGGAGGTTTGGTTGCTCTGATATCATCTTACCATATAAACCTAGAAAGAGAACAAGAAGAAAAATAAAGAAGCTTGTGGGTTTCTTTAGTACTGATTGAAAAGTTTCAGAGAGAAAATAATGTCTAAATACAAAAGTCAAGACTAAAAACTAAAAGCTAAAATTCAAAGTAAACTTACAATCAGTCCAGAAAAGTAACTATGGGTCTGTTTGATTGTGTTTTGGTTTTTTTGTTCTTAAAACTGTTTTGTAAAATAATTATGGAAACAGTTGTTTTCTATGTTTTTTTTTTATTTTGAAAGTTAAAAACCAAAACAGAAAACAAAAACAACTCAGACATGTTCTCTAAATTTGATTCTAAAAACAAAAAAAACAGTTACAGTTTTTAAAACTTTTTTAACAAAACAGTCCTTACCAAACGAGTTTTTTTGTTTTTTTGTTCTAAAAACTAAAAAACTGTTTTTGAAAACATTATTCAAACAGAGCCATGATTTCACTAACTATGGTTACGGTAACACAAACTACAGTAAGCTAAAAATAAAAGTTATTTTTATATTTATTATTTATTTCAAAACACTATATATATATATATATATTTGTAATCAAAACGCTATAATTTATTAGTGAGCTCGTGGATAACTAACTAATAATATGTGTAAAACTTTTTATTCTTACAATTAATTTTTATATACACCCTAATTATTGTCACCAGTGGCGGACCTATGTAAGTTTTAGTGTGTGCAAGTGCACACACAAATTTTTTGGAAATATATATATATATATATATTGGGTCATGAACAAAAATCACAGGTTTCAGTTTAATCTCTTAAAAAAAAAGTTGACTCGTGATCCCTTTAAAATCCAAAATAGACCCATGTTAGTCCTTTTGAGGAATTAATGTGGATCTTTTTGAATTTCAGAGGACTATGATTTTGATTATCTGGGTCTATTTTTGAATTCTGAGGAATCACGAATAGACTTTTTTTTTCCCTAAATTGATTATTTTTTTTATATTAAGTTAAAGTTTTTTTATATATATTCTTTTGTATTTTAAAATATTTAAA